TGCTGAGTGCTGATTTTCCTATTTTGTAGGACTGGTAGCCAAACCTTGTTTACTTTAAGAGTTTCTTCTTTTCTGTTGAAGTTATCCAAGTGTTTGTGGATTTTGATGGCTTCCCTGTGCATTCTGACCTGATAGTTGTTGGCATGGTCCAGAATTTCAGTGTTTTCAAACAGCATTTTATGCCCAGAAAAAACTAATGATTTCTGGAACTGGTCGCAAGGATATCTGAGGCAGTTACCCTGAATGTTATATCAGTTTGCTTCTCATGTCAATCACATTTATCTTTATATTAAAGAATAAATTCAAATCCTCATTCAAATCAGTTAGCACTAGTGATTTTAATTTTAAAATTCAGATTAAAATGCTGTTAATTGCCATCAGGTTGACTTTGACTTATGGCGATCCTATGAATGAGAGATAACCAAGTCATCCTGTTATTAACAGCCCTGATCAGTCTTGCAAACTAAGGGCCATGACTTCCTTGATTGAGGCTATCCACCCATAATACAGTGTTCCTATATCCCTAATGCCTCCTACTTTACCAAATATCATCTTTTTTCATTAGTCATATTATCTCATATGTCCAAAGAATAATAGCTTCATTTTGGTCATTTTGGCTTCTATGGGGAATTTAGGCTTGATTTGCTTTAGGACCCATTTATTTGTCTTTTTTAGCAGTCCATGGTATTCTTAAAACTCACCACAAGTATCACATTTCAAATTGATTCTCTTCCTGTCAGCTTTATTCATTGTCCAGTTTTGACAATTGTACATAGAGAATGGAAATATGATGGCATAGACCAGGGGTAGGCAACCTTTTTGAGCCTGGGGCCGGGTTGCTGTCCCTCAGACAATTGGGGGGCCGAAGCACCAAAAATAAATTTAAAAAAAGTAAAAAAAAAATTAAAATATGCATGCACACTCTCTCAGCCCCAGAAAAGCCATGGCAAAACCCCTGTGGAGATTTTGCCAAGAAAACCCCAAGAACAAGTAATAAAAACAATCAATATCATCATGGTGGCGGCAGCGGCGGCAGGACCAGCCTGGGCCGGTCCAAAGGCCTCGAGGGGCCGCATCCGGCCCCCCGGGCCTTAGGTTGCCTACCCCTGGCATAGACAATCCTGACTTTGGTAATCAATTATATATCCTTAGCCTTCAGGATCTTATTTAGTTCCTTCATAGCTGCCCTTCCAATTCCTGATCTTCTTCTGATGTCTTGCTTACTGTCTCCATCTTGATTTATAACTGAGCCAAGGTATAGAAAGTCTTGGACTATTTCACTGTATTCATCATCCACTTTAAAGTTATGTAAATCATCTGTGGTCATTATTTTTGTTTTCTCAGTGTTCAGATCTATCCTTGCTTTTGCATTTTTTCCTTGAGTTTCCTCAATAGTTGTTCCAAGTCTTTGCTATTTTCTGTTGGTAGCACAGTGTCATCTGTGTATCTTAAATTGTTGATGTTCTTCCCTCCAAATTTTCATGATTCCTTCCTCTAACTCTAATCCAGCTTTCCATATGATATCTTATTCATATAGCCAAAATGTAGTGCCATGGTGAACATTATTTTAAATAGATATTTTAAAATTTTTAGTTGAAAATTTCTGTGAATTGGGGTAGTGTATTACTTTTGAGCAACTCATTTCCAAGCTCTGAGAAAGAAGGTAGTG